GTTAAAATAAAAGCCGCCAAAAAAAAGATCGAAAAAGAAAAAATGCCAAAAAAGAACCGCCAAAAAGGAAGAATCGCCCCCAAAAAAAGAATAACCCAAAAAAAGAGACGTCAGAAAAAAAAAGCCGCCAGAAAAGAACCACCAGAAAGGAACCGCCGTGCCAAAAAAGAACCGCCAAAAAGAAGGATCGCCCCAAAAAAAGAATCGCCCAAAAAAAGAGCCGTCAGAAAAAAAAAGCCGCCAGAAAAGAACCACCAGAAAGGAACCGCCGAAAAAAAAGGACCACCGAAAAGAACCGCAAAAAAAAAGATTTAACCGAAGAATTGTAACTGAGAAACTTCAATATAGCTTTAGACAGAAATGTTTACCTAAGGTTATTTTAAGTGAAGAAACGTCCGATTCTTCATCCGAAGAGTCTGTGTCATATATGAGTTGGTGACCTATATTATCGTTTTCACTTATTGTTTCATCAAATAGTTCGTTGGACCCTTCGTTAATTGTGGCGTTAATAGATTCAGTATCGTCGAATAATTCCATAACTGAAAATATGTAGACAATAGAAGTTAATGTAATGATAATAAAACGTGTAACTATAAATCTGCTTAAAGAATGTTTCACTCGTACACACCTTGATTTTCTTACGTTCCTGTCTTCACTTTTAATATACGCGTCACTTTGCTTTGACTGTTTGACTATGTTCTATACGTTTAACGATAAATCGATGAACAAAAAGAAATAAAATCATGTGCAAACCGAACCCCTATTTATTTGTATAAATTAAATCTCCGATCATTTACAGCTGTCAAAATAGACTTGCATCTGTCAGGGGTACACGTAAAAATAAAACTATATAACGATCATTTATGTGTAACCGGGGATTTCCCCCCTGGTTAACCTTAGTTATTTTCTAATAAAATAATATTGTTTGTAAAAAAATAAATAATAAAATAATAAAATAATAAAATATTTGAATAAATAATAATAAAATTTTTTTTTTTTTTTAAATTCGGGTAGTAAAGTTTCAATAACAACTTGGGGTTCTCAATATTGTTATTCATGATATTGAGCAAGTCTATCACTATTGTAATATTTTTGTAAGACTTGTTTTTTATCATTAATAAGTTGATAAGTGCTATTCTCAGTTTAAAATAGATAGTGAAAGGTCCTATTCTTTTATCTTCGAATTTCACAGAGTGGGATGCTTCTATATCTTTTTGTTGGATTCAAACTTTGTCTCCAACTTTAAATTCTTCTGGCCTTAGTCACTTGTCATGTTTTTCTTTTTGTTTATTTTGTGATTTTTCTGTATTCTTCTTGGCTTGCTCTTGAGCTTCTGTTTACTTGTCCATAAGATCAAAAGCTCAGGTTAAGATACTATCTTCTAAGTCTATTTCTGTTTCTGTTTCTGTAGTAAGAAAAATTAGCTCTATCAGCAGGATAGCTTGTCTTTTATATACCAACTGAAATGGAGTATATCCTGTAGTAGCATGCTTCTTAGTCTGGTAGGCGAATAATATTGTATACAAATTGAGGTCTTAGTCTTCCTTAGTTCCTACTTTTGCTAGTAATTCACACAAAGTTCTGTTTAGTTTTTTTACTATACTATTAGTTTGGGAATGATATGATGATGAAAACTTATATCGCATAAGAAAGTTTTTATATAAAACTTTCATTATATCTCTTCTAAAATTTGATTCTTGGTCAGAAAGAATAATTTTGTATATTCCATGGCAACATATAATTTCTTCAAAGATAAATTTTGCAAGAGTTAAAGCTCCTGCATTTGGTACAACTTGGGCTTCTGGCCAACAAGTCAAATAATCTGTTGCAACAATAATGTACTAATTGTTATAAGATGTTATTAGTAGAGGTCCTACTAAATCAATTCCAATTCTCTCAAAAGCCTGTCTTATTTTAATAGAATAAAATGGTTTTTTTTTTCTAGATGTGCCTCTTACTAGTTGAAATGAGAAAATTCAGCACTACAAAGTTCGGGTATAAATTGGCATAAAAAGACATAAATCGTTAAATAGTAAATAGCAATGAAATTTTAAGTAGAGTTTGTTGGGAGTGCAGTTGCGCGGGCAAGTATCAGGCGAAGAAAGTGTTGGATCCAAATAATCAAAGAAATCGACGATCTAAGGCAACAGAATGTGAATGGAAAGTTAATGCGAACTTCTCAAAGAGAACATCAATGATTTCTTTTACCACAGTCGTGGATAAACATACTCATCCGTTGGTTCCTTCACCTGCAACCAATATCGCTAGATATCGTAAGCTTGGTAATGACATGGTTGAATTTATTGAATTTTGTGTACATCACGGCGTAACTAGCGCACAAAGCATTGGACGTCTTTTAAAAGGAAAATTTCCTGGAAGAAAGGTTTATCAAAAGGCCCTTTATAATGCAATTCAAGTAGCAAAAAAAAAATTAGTAACGCGAGTTGAATTTGACGCGGCGGATCTTATGAAACAGTTATATTCAAGACGAGCTGAGGATTCACGTTGGTTTGTAGAGGCGAAATTTGAAAAAAATGAGCGTCGTTTGTGTGGATTAGTATGGCTATCGCCTGAACAGCAAATTTTATGGACCCGTTATCACGATGTTCTTTTTTTTGATACAACGTCTCGTACTAATAAGTATAATATGGTGGCTTGTTTCTTTGTCGTTGTCGACAATTGTAATCGAACGCGACTTGTTGCAACTGCATTACTTGAAGATGAGACAGAAAATAGTTTCTCTTGGGCATTACAAATGATTAAAAAATGTATGGGAAGTCTAACACCAAAGGTCGTATTTACCGATTCCGACCCAGCAATGATTAGCGCAATAAACTTGGAATTTTCAGATTCTATTCATTGCTTATGTATATTCCACCTTGATCTTAATTTAAAGAAAAATCTTAGAAATAAGCTGAGTTCGATAGAATTCAAGGAGTTTCGTGAGGCTTTTTTTAAGTGTAGGAACATCTTAGTTTCAAGTGTTTTTGAAAGTCAATGGGAAAGTTTAAAAGTGGAATATCCATCAATCAGTGGTTATATTAAGCGACAATTGGATCCGTTTAAACATAAATGGGCCATCTGTTATACAAATAATCAATTCACGGCCGGGGCAAATAGCACTCAACGGGTTGAAAGCTTTAATCGTAAAATCCATGATTGTGTTCGGTCAAGTTCATCACTTCTGGAATTGACAAAAGAAATTCAAGATTTACTTGATAAAGAAGCCGAATATGTGAGAGTCGAGGAGTATAAAGAACAAATCCCTATGATCGGTCTTCCAACTATCTCAAAAACCTATTTTAATTCTATTGAGACGGTTGTTTCACGATCTCTTTTACCAGCTATGGTGTTTGTTGTATGTAAACAAATGCAGGAATGTTTTTACTATGACTGCTTTCGAATGGATAGCACGGTTGTTGATTTAATTGTAGAGGTAAAGTATTAGTCTCATGGTTTATAAATTTCAACAATAATTTTATTTTCTTATTGAAGAATGGTATTGTTGACGATTCTATTTTAAACCGCGTAAAAAATTCAAAATGAGCAATTTACTGCAATTCTGTACTAAAACATTTTATCTTGTTTAAGGAACAAGTAAATATTAACAATATTGAGGGAGCAAGGGAAGATAATTACGATATCACGAAAATATGTCTTGCCGACATTATATCAACGGTTAGACAAGAACAAGTTATAGAAATTTGGAGAGTAGTTATATCTTGTGGATCAAAAAACAACTATGTTATATTGTTAGCAGATGGGTCTCATCGATGCACATGCAATATTATCATAACTCATGGATACCCATGCCGACATTTTTATAAGGTTTTACGTTGTTCTCCTCAGGCTAAATGGCATATTGGACTTATTGCGGCGCGATGGTATAAAGACAATTTCGTTGATGATATTTGGAAGCAGTCCCCAATTACAATATGTGCTAATTCAGATGAAACCCATGTACCATGTGATGTTGAATATCCGATATGCAAATTTGATCACATAAAGCAAGTTCGAAAGACTGAAGTTTATAGTCAAACATTGAGAGAAGTCAATAATACACGACAAAAGTATGGAAGAGCTCAAGGCATTATGAGAAAAGTACTTGATATAGCAATCGCGACTGATTCATACGACGAATTGATGGGTATTTGTCATGGATTTATCTTGGATAAACAAGGAAACCAAGAACCTGATACAATAACGGATGAAATTGAATGCAATATTAAGAACCCTGTGGTTAGTACAAGAAAGGGACGTCCGCCTGGACGAGCAAAAAGCAATGTTGAAGTTCAAGATCAACGTGCTAAAAAGATGCGACATCCACAAACTTCAGAAATTACTAATGAATATGAAATCAAAGACAATAGGAAAACATGTCAAAATTGTGGAAATAAGGGACACAATAGGGCAACATGCAAAATTAATCAGGGTTAATAGAAACATAATAGGGCAACATGCAAAAATGAGAGTTTTATACGTAGTATAGTTTGATTTATCGCTATAGATCTATGTATTGTATCGTATGATATCTGCATTGTTAATTGAGAAAGACTGCTGTCTGTTTGCTTAGTTTGATATGCTTTGTCATTGTTAATTTCGAATGTACGTATGTACATACTATTTGTTTGCTTTTTGTGCGTAGCTACGTATGTAATTACTAAATTAAACGATTCAGGCTTGGTGCGTACGTAAGTATTTTATATCAATGCTGGGTTTTTGTGCATTCAGTAATTTTGGAAAGAATGATAATGAATAATTTGTATGAGTGCTATTTTTTAGCGATGTTATAATGGGTATATATCTTCCGAGTTTATTTGTTAAGAGATCAACCTTGATTTTTATGTATTAGTAAGGCTTTAGATCGAAATATGAGTAAGTCTATCTATAGGCATAGCATTATAGATTATCAGTGTTTATTATGTTAGGTTAGGGTTTGCTACGTACGTATCAGGTTAGGGTTTGATTTATAAAAGGTAATTTTATATGCAAAATTTAAAGGTTACAAAGCGTTTTTTTGTATTTGTTGAGTTACGCATGTTTTGAATTTGACCATTGTATTTGTTGAGTTACGCATGTTTTGAATTTGGCCATTTATTAATTATGTTGCGTACGATATACATATGTACGTACGTATGTACGTGTACATCTTATTTATTAACAGAACAAAATTTGCGCCTACATTATATAGTCAGACCTCCCTAAATGCAATGCGACGGGACCATATATAAAAATTTGGTCAAACGTGCACTTAGAGAGGTATTGCATTTAGGGAGGTAAAAATATATAGATGTAATATTAGTTGGGCCCAAGAGAAGACGTGCATTTAGGGAGGTGTTTCATAGGACGTGCACTTAGAGGGTCTGACTGTAGTTACACAATGTATAAATCACAGTTTGTTTATCACGGGTTAGAAATATAGCAAATGTTGTGTAACATTTAAGTCATGTGATTAGGCGGTGATTTCCCCCCCGGTGAAAATTAGAAATTCTCATTTTATTATTATAATTATTACAAATTTTATTATTTATTACTATTAGAATTAGATTTAAAATTTCTATTTTATTATTATTGATCTATTTACAAAATAATACAAAAACTACTTCTACTCTCATTTTTCTTAACTCTATTTCTTAATTCCTTAACTTCAATCTCCAAATTTGCTACTCAAACTCGTAATCTATCTCTTTCTGTAGCAACTTTCTTATATTAGACTTCTCAGATGAAGTTTTTACATACCACATCAAGAGCTGTAGGATTCTTAATCAATGCTTTAGTCTTCAAAGTTATAACTTGATTTTGGAGCATCGACAAATGATCTGCAACCGCACTACCTTTACCATGGCAAGGCATTTGTAATAGAAAAACAATTAGAAACAAATTATTTCTAAACGTATAAACTTGAAAACAATAAAAGAAACAATTAAAAAGACCCTTATTCTAAGAATATTACAAGCAAGGTCTATTACTTGCAATACTAGTGGAGATAAGTTCTTATCCTACTTGCACAAGAGACCACAAGTATCGAAATGAAAAAGAGGAAAAACAAAGAGGAAAATATCTACTTGGGCCAACTACATAGTGCACCAGAGTAGAAGACCAGTCAAGCTCTATACGCCTAAATTAGATGAAATTTAGTACACAGCCAGAACAAATATACACACCTTTGGGACAACAGCAAGATAAACAACAAGAAGAAAGCAACAAAAGATAAAAGTTTTTGAGAAAACTACAAGAAGAAAAGAAATGAGATATTAGAAAAATTATTAAAAACAAGAAAAGGAAAAAAACAAAAGAAGATAAAGACCAAAACTGTGGATAAAAGATTTTTAGAATCTAACAATACCAAAAACCAAGGAATTAAATAATGGAAAAACTCAATTAGCCTTGACTAGAAGATTATCAATAGATGCAGAAAAACAATCACAAGTAACAATGTGATTGCCAGAATAAGAATAAAATAGACAATTAAACAAACAATAGCTAATTTTAGACAAATTAGCATATGAAGTTAAGAGACCTCACATTTTTAAGGAGAGGAAAACAGACAAAGAATTTGTACTGATAGAACATTGTAAAAATTTTTATTTTTAGAATTTGTACCAATAGGATATTGTAAAAATTTTTATTTTTAAAAACCTCAAAACCTCTAAAAAAGTATACTTTATTAGACAAAACAAAATAGGAAGTAAATAAAGCCATATGGTTATGTTGCAATTTAGTAAACAAAAATCTTGTTTACTATTTTTAGAAGACAAAGACTCACCATATGGGGAACATAAGAAAACAGCATGTATTGAACAAATTTTGCATATGGGCAATACAACAAGACAGCATGGGTTGAATAGTTTCATAACACAGTTTCAACTAAGAAGCATGAACAAAATTTTAATAGATATATAAAGGACTTGAAATTGCCTTCCTTTACTTTAATTCTGCCAACACCTCTTCTAACAATTAAAACTAAAACAATTAAATCTCTCTAACAAAAATGTCCTTACCCAACAACTTGCTCTCTTGGATTGTCCCTCGACTTTATTACAAGGCCTGTAAACTGCAGGAATTGTATAAACAACTGCAATATATCAGAACTATTCTGTATGATGCCTCAAGTACCTACTTTATTCTAAATTTAGATTAATCATATGCAGCATTTGCAAACAATAGTAATCCACTTAGACAAATTAAAGCTGAATTAATTTGCATGATCCCTAGTGAAATTCATCCTGTTATCATACTTATAACTATGACTACCCAGTAGGAACAATGTTTCAAAAAGATTCTTGAAGCATATGCCAATGTTATCAATAGGAAAAATTATAACAGGGAGCAAGCTTTTGTATATAGTTATTATCTAGAAGCTTTACTAATTGATAACCTCTATTCTCAGTATAAAATTAAAATAAACCGGCTACGAGCTTAGAAAAGGACCTACCGCTTATTCAATGCTATTGGATATGAACAAATTTATTGCACCCAGACTATTACTCTCAAAACTATTGGTAAACTGAGTAAAACACATTTTAATCGGCTTATTAATTTTTGTAGATGGTACAAAAGTCAAAGGATTTTTATGAAATAAAAATCTTAAGAGGAGGAATATATTACAAAGCAGATTTTAGAAGTCTACCAGGGTGACCACAAAAATTACAGGTCATATGATGATTGATGACAAATTAACTAATAATAAATCATAATTTCATGTAACGTAACATGATCAGAAAAATTTAAGCTTTGTCAAAAACCTCCTTTATCTCACGAATTTGCATAAGAAACTGGTCTTTATGCTCTAATAAAAAAATTTCCTTGAGCAATTTTACTATAAGAATTCTACTTTAACCCTAATACTAACATTAACTTTGACGTTAATTCTAATTTTACCGAATATTAAGTTATTTTATCGATCATCACATGACCTGTAATTTTCGTGATCACCCTGGTGGACTCAGATTTTAGTGTAGCATTTTGTATAGAAATTTAAGTTATTTTTAGCTTAGTATTATTCATTATTATATATATTATTAGTTAGTTTATTCTTAATTATATTTAGTATATTCTTATATTATATATTATTATATTATATTAGATAGTAATTTTATAGTCGATATATAGAAATAATTTGATTGGCTATTAGAAGTGTGGCGCAGTCACATAATCTCACATGACTTAAGATAATACAAGATTATACAAAAGTAGTGATTTAAGCTACATGATTTTGGTCGGTTGGCTAAGCTAGCTGACCAAAACATTGGCTAAGCAGCTGGCTAATGGCTAAGGATAGAGCAACCAAAATTCAGCAGACTGACCAAAATTTAGGATCGGAATAAGCCCAGAGCTAGGCTGGCATTAAGTAATAATACAAGCTAACTATATTACAGCAAAATTATTATCTGAGCAGCTTTACTTAGTATATAGGCTACCATTTCATTAGTAAGATTTAGGAAGAAATTTATCAACTCTAGCCTATTTTGACTCTAAATTTTGATCAACTCTGATATATTTTGGAAAATTTTTCAAAAGTATTTTATATTCTTTTCAAGTTTCTACTATTCATAAATCATGTGATCTTTAGCTGTATTAGCTAGCCAATTGAATTATATTGGCTGGCTTAGCCAGCTAAGCCAGCTTAGCTGTGGCTACTTTAGCCAGCTTAAATCACTATACAAAAGAGTACTTTAGATTATATGAAAGGTACTACAGAAAAGTAACACAATTTCCTCTAAGTTCTTCTACACAGAATCCTCCAAATTCCTTTATATGAAATCCTAAATGTGTTAAACACAAGATACTGTATCACAAGCCTCACATCACATTGCAAAGTCCTCCAAGTTCCCCTTTACAAACAATAAATAAATATAAACAAATCGAGTAATATTTATATTCTCCAACTTTCTCTAATACAATTCATCAACTTCTTAAAGTACAATCCTTCAACTTCCCCTGACACAATCCCTCAACTTCCCCTACTAATGTTACTCATTCTCCAATATCCCTTGTACATTGTGTACTTTTGCTTTGGGCAAAAAAGATATATAAAGTGTGTCTTTTCCTTCTTTCTGCCAATTTTTAAGTTCCTACACTTCACTTAAACTCTGATATCCTTTACCTCTTTTTATCTTGTAAAGTGTGACATTCATCCTCTAAAGTAATTTCTACAGGCAAGGCTTATCACCATTCTTGTATTAAATAAAGCTATCTTATATACTGTTACTATCTCGAACTATTTGCCTGCTGCTATATAGTTAAGTGAACAACTACACCTCTACTTCATATATATTTGTAATAGTCAATCACTGTATCGAGTGACCTTGTTACTTGGTTGTATTTTACTAAGAAGGCTACAACCCTGTAATAGCACTACAATAGTTCTTTTATAATTTTTAAATTTTTAATTTTGCGAAGCAAAATTTTTCAAGGAGAGAATAATGTTATATTAG